GGGGGCCCTGCAGCCTGGCGTCCTGCGGGGAGAGGGGCTTCAGGGTTTGAAGTGATAGAAACCAGCACGGCTGGAAGCCAAAAGAGAAACATAGGCTCCCTCGTGCCATTTCCCACCAGATGGATCCCCTGGGTGAGCCTGGCTCCCGTGCAGGCCCTCCGGACAGCTCCACCTCCCACCCACTGGAGTCAGACCCATGAGTCCAGGCCCCGCACAGACCCATGTGTGGAGGGCTACAGGCAGCTCCTAGGAGGGAGGGTGCTGGCCGCCATTCCGCAGGGGGAGCCTGGGGGGCCACCTCGACGCCAGCACCCACAACCACCAGCCAGCAGTGGCAAGGGCCCCAGCGACCTGAGTCTTCATTTCTTTTTTTTTCTTTTTTTTTTGAGATGGAGCCTCGCTCTGTAGCCCAGGCTGGAGTGCAGTGGCCGGATCTCAGCTCACTGCAAGCTCCGCCTCCCGGGTTCCCGCCATTCTCCTGCCTCAGCCTCCCGAGTAGCTGGGACTACAGGCACCCGCCACCTCACCCGGCTAGTTTTTTGTATTTTTTAGTAGAGACGGGGTTTCACTGGGTTAGCCAGGATGGTCTCGATCTCCTGACCTCGTGATCCGCCCGTCTCGGCCTTCCAAAGTGCTGGGTTTCATACAAATAAATGGCATACGTACCTATTTGTAATGAGAACCCCCACACCCAGCACCCAGCACAAGACTAGAAACAGAGCATCCCAGAGAAAGCGGGGGAGGGGGCTGGGCGCGGTGTCTCACACTTGTAATCCCAGCACTTTGGGAGGCCGAGATGGGTGGATCACGAGGTCAGGAGATCGAGACCATCCTGGCTAACATGGTGAAACCCTGTCTCTACTAATAAAAAATTAGCCTGGCGTGGTAGTGGGCACCGGTAGTCTCAGTTATTCAGGAGGCTGAGGCAGGAGAATGGCATGAACCCAGGAGGCAGAGCTTGCAGTGAGCCGAGATTGCACCACTGCACTGCAGCCTGGGCAACAGAGCTAGACTCTGTCTCTAAAAGAAAAATTTAAAAAGCGGGAAAGGGGAGGGAGTCAGGGAGAGAAGGAGAAAGAAGAAAGAAAAGCATGGCCTCCTGCGAGCCGAGTGTCTCCTAGAAGTGGCCACTATCCCTAGCTCAGTGTCCTTTGTCCCCTCACAGGTTCTGTGGCTCTGCTGCTATGAGCAGGGCCCTCCCTGAGCCAGGCCAGGTTCTGGGTGTTGGCGTGTTCGCCTGTGAGGGACTCTGAGCAGAGCTGCCTGGGAGGTTCTGTTCAGAGGCTTCCCCACGCTGCCACTCAGGGGGGTTTGGAAGGCAGCGCAGGAAAGAATTGCGGTGACTTCACGTCCCCTGG